ATGTTATATAATCGCAAAAAACTACATATAACAGTGAAGCAGAATTTAAAAAATGCATGGTTTAAAGGAGCACTTGGATACTTTTGAAATAATGCAAGCTCAACCAAACAGCTTCAAAAGTCACCTAATTATTTGCATAGTTTAAAGGAATAGTACACCCAAAACATGATTAGCCTTCATTTTCTACTCACCCCCATGCTGAACAACACTCTGGAGTACTTTTTTGATATCTCAAATGCATCTAGAGATCTGGGAGGCTTCTTGCTGTCTGCTGACATTCAAATAATGGAGGTCTATGGTGCCCGAGGCAGAAAGGTCCATAAAAGTCCACAAAAAACGTTTCAATATTCCTACATACTGCTCGTCCAATGTATTCCAAGTGTCCTGAGTGGGTAGCATCCAGAATTTACTCGAAACGAAGTCATTTAGAATGTTTTTAGAGCATAAACTGTAGTGTATAGGATTTCCTGAAAGCGCGCACATGCGCGATCAAGACGCTACGGAAGCCGGCAGACCAAACCAGCGCATTCAGCTCGGCAAAGAACTCATGCTCTTCCTCAACACTGAAGTCCTCAGACATTTTTCTTTCGTTGTTTCTTTCTTTGCACAGGTAAACAGCACATTTCTTCTTCTACGCTTGCATTATTGGAAGAGCAGACGCTGAATGCGCACTTTCATCTGGTTTGGTCTGCCGGCTTCCGTAGCGTCGTGATTGCGCATGTGCGCGCTTTCAGGAAATCCTATACACTACTGTTTATGCTCTAAAAACATTCTAAATGACTTTGTTTCGAGTAAATTCTGGATGCTACCCACTCAGGACACTTGGAATACATTGGACGACCAGTATGGAGGAATATTGACACGTTTTTTGTGGACTTTTATGGACCTTTCTGTCTCGGGCGCCATAGACCTCCATTATTTGAATGTCAGCAGACAGCAAGAAGCCTGCCAGATCTCCAGATGCATTTGAGATATCAAAAAAGTACTTCAGGGTGTTGTTCAGCATGGGGGTGAGTAGAAAATGAAGGCTAATCATGTTTTGGGTGTACTATTCCTTTAAGGTCAGTGCAAAATGAATCACTTTTACATCACCCTGACTTTGAAACATGGTGGTGGCAGTATCATGCTGTAGGGCTGAAAGATTTGAGAAAATATTGCAATGTCAAAAATATGGGTTAAAATTGCAGTGAAAACTGTGAAAAATGTCTCTTCTGTTTTACATCTGTGTTTCCATCACTTTATTGTTGTTAGCTTTTTGGGGAATGTAATTTGTGTAAGTTGTGAGGATCTGCTGACAGAGGAGTCTTTTTAACTGGCTAGATTTAAAATAAGCACTTAAAATTAGGGTTGCACGATATAATCGGCCCCCTATCGGTATCGGCCTGTATCGGCCTTAAAACTGAATATCGGACATCAGCCACCCCACAGATATTTAACCCGATATTTGATCAGCTTCTGAGTTTCTAAAGTATTTTTTTTTTAAACTTCTTTTTTACAGACTTAAAAACTTCTAAAGATGAGGGAAAAAATATTGATACATTAAAATATCACATTATCTTCATATGCTGATATATTGCCATTTAAAAACACCATATCAATCTCTTTTACTAATGAAATATTGCTATATGTCATCATTATGCTACGAAATCCCCCGAAAATTCACTAAATTTTGCCATATTTTTATATGTTGATATATTGACGCGGTATCGATCTATTTTACTAACAAAATCTCACAAGAATTTGCAAAATGTCACGAGAGTTTGTAACAGAACGATGAAATTTCACGAGATTTTGAAAGTAAAATAGATCAATACCGCGTTTTTAAAAATCAATTTGATATCAGCATATGAAAACATATTTCAGTATATTATTTTTCAAAGTGTCAGAAATGGATAACAAAACTGCTATTTTCAATGACTACTTATTTTTGTCCAGCTTTAACATCGGTATCGATATCGGTTATCGGCTACATGAGTTTTAAAATATCGGCATATCGGATATCGGCCAAAATCCCAATATCGTGCATCCCTACTTAAAATGCAAGTTCATCACACACAGAATATATTAGACAATAATTCTTTCAGTCTAAACATTTCTTTGATAACAAAACGGCACAAACAGGTATTTCTTTGATGACATACCTGTGGTATTTTTGTATATCCTTACAGTTCTGAGAAGGAATGTGCAAAATGGTCATTATTAATGGTACAAAGGATGCGCCTAAATACAAGAAAGAAAACCGTATTAGAGGCTGCAAAAGCTTGAGATAACTTTTTTTTTTTGGTTTTAAGTAGTAAGAGGGGGGAAATATTGAAGCATGGCACAAACATCATATTGTCTTTTGTAAACAAAAGATAATTTTGCTAAACAAAGCTATTTAAACATCCAGGAGTTTGTGTTTTTACAAGAGAAATAAAACGTAAGTTTTTTAATGTTTTTGCAGGACACTGTACCTTTTAAAGTTGTTTAGGATTTTTTGAAATATGTGCATTATTTTACTTTTTTTAATTGTTTTTATATTTGATTTTAGAGCTCCATATTCTGATCTGTTTTCTGTTTGTTTTTTTCTTTGAAAGCACAGGAACTGTCTCTACAGTCCTGTCGCTACAGGGTGAGCCTAACAGAGCACTTAATTATCTTTTTTTGTCATTCTTTTGTTTTTACTCTCCTTAATCATTAATTTCTCTTCGTATAGAAATACTACTGGTTTGTCTTGATGCAGATGGCTGCTCATCCTTGTTCTGCTGGTGCACTTTTTCAGATTACGTATCAGTCAGCCAAACTGGGGATTGGTGGAAAACTGTGAAACCGAGGATGATGGAGAGAAAAGCGAGACTTCAGAAGCCTTCCCTGAGAGTAATATATATATCATCTTGCATGTCAACGAAGACCAATATGACCTGTGACATTCTAGCTGAGGATATAGACGGGGTAATGAAGACACTTCTTCGTCACATTAGCCAACAGTGGAATGTGAATGCCAATATTCGCCTCCGGAAACAAGCCCAACCAGCTTTTTGGCTTTTATCACAAGCCAGTGTCAGTTCATAGAGGTGAGATCAGGGTTTCTGGGTCTTACAAGCTGACTTACTGTACAACTAATATTCAAATATAATTTTATGCGACTATGATGCAGATCTTTGGACATGTGTAGAAAAGTTTGCCAAACTATGAGTTTTTATGTAAATCTCTGACACATGACTTAACTCAGCCACACTGTCTCAATAGAAAATATTTTTTTATTGGGATTTTTGTAGAATTTCACAACAATTATTTCTTTCAGTCTTTTTCAAGTAACTTTGTACCATTTTTGCAAGTGGAATTTTTTTTCTATCATCCAAACAACAGAGCTCCAGCTTAGTGAGATTGGGATGGAGAGCATCTGTAAAGAGTGAATCCAACAGTTGCTTCTCGGTCTGTTTGCTTGACAAAGGTTATGATAAGCTAAAGATGATGTGCAGTGCTAGTTTTCCACCTCAGGCTATTGTGTTCATGGAGCCCAGTAGGTTGAACTTTGGTCTCATCCACTTTGAACTATTTCCTCTGCATGATTGCTGTGTCTCAAGGGGTATGAATACTTTTTAAACCACTCTATGTCACAGAGTTTTGGATGTAATACACCAATACCCACAAGCCTCTATAAAAACTTCTGTCTCAAACCAACCCATTTGGCCTTTGCACTGACTGAGCGGACATTTGAGATTTGGAAGTGATATGGAGAATATTCAATCTATCTATCTTGCAAGGGACCATAGGGAGCTATTAGCTCTGGAAAAACAGACCATCAAAAATGAGCTGCTCGTGTTTGAACAAATACTTGAAAATTTGACTATGGAGTTACTTAAAAAGAAATAGATCATTTATTAAGAAAGTGTAACAGTTATGTTAACCTTATGTTTCCTCTCTTAAAATACAGGGTCCCAGCCAAGCAGTCACATGGACTCACTTGGTGAATGAAACTCAAAACCGACACCTTCTGCGTCCAAGAACATGTGATGCAAGACGCACAAACACACTCAGGCAGGAGAAGACAACAGACATGTGCACATTTACATACACTGACCTGAAGAAAAAGCTGAAAAAAGCCAATTCCTTAATATGTAAATCCAATTTAAGGATTCAACTCACATCGAGAATCTAAAGGTGTTCTTCATCCAGCCTACCGCTGGGTCCCCAGGAGCCCATCCTGTTATATAAGATCAAGATTCTCTGCTGACAGGATCTAAAATGAACTCCAGTCTCCACGTCCTCCACCACCTCCAGAGATCTGCTCTGCCTGCATGGACGCAGGTCATCTCCATGTAAAGTGGACTAATGGCAGAGAAATGGTTACTTATCATCCACGGCATCAAGGGATCTTGCCAATTTGCCATGAGAGCATAAACTAAAAATAACACTTTGCCTCTGGGAGGCATCAAAAGGGATATACAAGATTGCAAAGTCTTTTAACAATAGGCCTAAAGAGAGCTGATCATTCATCTGCTGAGTAAAGACAAAAACCTGAGTAAAATTATCTTTTTTATACATTATCTTGAAAAAAAAAAACATTTTCCACAACTCCTACATGCACATATGAGCACTGCTTTAAAAACCCTCATCCTAAAATTAGACTAAACTGATTTACAGGTGTTGGAATACCTACAAGCAGCCATATTGAGATAAAAAAAAAAACGCGCACAATCTCTTAAGGTTTTCAATTCAAAAAACAGATATAGGCCTATAATTCTAATCTTCCCAATAAAAAAACACACTTTCAGATAGAATAGTTTCTTTGCAGGAAACGGTCACTTTTGAGCTGAGAGAAAATAACAGCCCACATTTAAAACCCACTTTTACAGAAATAAACACTATTTATGCTGCTTTCTACTGTGAAACTGAGGCTTGATCATATGTGTCCAGCTTCCCCAATAATCAAAATAACTTCCAAGACAGGATTTAAAATCTGCAGCCGTTTAACCTGCAACTTCATGCACAACACCAAAAGGAGTGTGGAGTTTTACCTTTCACAAGTATTCCACAAAATCCTCAATCCCTGAGGATCATGAAAGTATCTCCTTTAGCTGCTTGGGAACCTTATTCCCCTGCTGGAGGCGGCCGCTGCGGGGCTGCGGGCCCGCTGATCCTGACGCACGCAGGCGCCCCGCAGTGAAACCGGAGGAGCAGCTCCAGATGGGACCAGATCAGATCTTTGACAACGTCCCGTTCCCACACAGCTGGTCCTTCAGGAAGGCGCAGTGCTCACTAAGCACAGACCAGAGGAGGATCTGTAGGCTGACGGCTGCAGCGCACAGTCCTTTCACCTGAATGCATGGTGATGATGCGCATGACACCTGCCATTGAAGGTGATCCTATATACCCAGGTTTGAATACCATCAAAACTTAATTCAATTCACAAAATTAAGTTAATAAATTATTTATATTCTATAAACAAATTGATAACATTTGTTTTTTAATGAAACAGTTGAATAAAGGCTCATTACGTTATAATCTACAACAGAAACCATTCTGCCTTTTGTGTTTATTAAGTAGCCTACGCCTACAAATTCTCTTGATTTACTAACGCTTAAAAGCTTACTTATACATTTTTTCGTTTTTAGGAGAGGAGCCTGATGTACGGAAGAGGATTAGGGCCACTGGAAAAAAAAAAAGTTAACTGATTTTTTAATTTTATTTCAGTTTAACATGGGAAAAAAGTCAGAATTCTGAGAAAAAAGCCAGAATTCTGAGATTAATCTCAGAATTTTGGATCTTAATGTAGATGGGCACCATGAAGGAAGAGATGTGGGAGCAATCAGCTTCACTGACAAAGATGTGAGTTGTTTGAGCTGGCCAGTGAATTAGGCAACTTTTTACGTGCCCGAGGGGTCCCCTCATTAATGGAGGAGCAGAAGGTCATTAAAACAAGAGAGCTAGTCTCTAAAACAGACATGGCTATGGCTTGATGCTAACATGTTTGGAATGCCTTTTTCCTCCATAAATCACAATCTCACAATGTTAAATAATCCTTTAAAAAATCTTGTATCTGGATGATGATTTGGATCACCACCAACATTTAGCAGGTTGTCCCTTGGGATGAGGTGCGCCTGTGGTAAAAAATGTAATAAAAAACTGTTTATAACTTTTAAAGTTATTCTGTTTGTGTGTTTGTACAGGCAAACACACAAACTCCAAAAAATCTAACCTCCTTGGTGGAGGTATAATGTTGACCTACTTGTCTACGTTTTAAAAATATAACCACTAGATGGCAGCATATCATTATTATTGACGCTTGTGAGCACAATCATAACAATCCAATTAAGATAATTAGGATCTAGGCAGAAAAAAAATACAAATACTTCTACAGATATAATAAAACCAATTTAAAAGACACAATTTAGTTTTAACTCACCCCCACAAACCAGAGGTGGGTAGTAATTAGTTATATTTACTCAGTTACATTTACTTGAGTAACAAGGGAGAAGTTTACTTCTTTCGTTTACTTGAGTAATATTCGTAAAGCACCGCTATTCCTACTTGAATAAAATCTCTAAATAGGTTCGGGTTTCTAAGTTTTATGTTGAAAAAAATGGTAGAAGTATTTGTTCTGCATGATTTTCTTCTTGATTATTTATTACATTTATTTTTAATCTTTATGCATTTGAGTCTTTAAAATGACAGAACTTGTACATAAAGTCTGTTTTATAGTCTATTTTATAAACATTAAATCTGATGTTATTATCCATCAGTTACTCAGTATTCAAGTAGCCTTTTTTCTGAATACTTTTTTACTTGAGTAAAAAATGTGAAAGTAGTTCTTGTGAACTAGTTTGGTTGAGGATCAGCAAGATGACCAAAGAAACAGTTTCAGCCACCAGTTCCAGATTTCTGTTGTCTTTTAATCAGGACTTTTCACTCTGACAACCATTTCCTGAGCTTCAAAGAGCTCAGTGCTTATATAACCAAGTGGAAACACACATGCACTTGAGTGGACCAAGCCACAATTAAACAGGTAGAAAAACAAAAACAAAGTCTAAACAGAGAAACAAGAATAAAATGAGTAATCTAAAAAACTTTTACAAACTCGTCTACATAATGAAAGAGTCTGCAAAATAAACAATGTGAAACAAGATAACTCAAAAAGCTACTTTAAAGAAAAACAAACAAAGCATTATTCCAAAGGAAACCCTCTAAATGGTAGAACCCAGCAAGGTAATCAATTACATCATTGGGGTAATTTAGCAGGAAATACTTGGACAAATAATGGTTAAAAGAGAGGAAAACAAATACCATGAATATACTTTGAAACAAAATAAAACTATTTAAACCAAATAATCCAGAAGTAATAGCTTTAACCTAAACATGTAAATAGATGGAAACTGCAACATAATGCTAACACAAACAAACCCGGGATAGTAAGTGAAGGAAAGTTGGAAACTAATGTTTAAATTTAAGCATTACAAATCAGAAAAAAGAATAAGGGGCAAGTGGTGAACACAAACTGAACCACTTTGTCACAGTTCTACTCTTATTTGAATACATTTTTTGGGTACTCTACCAAACTCTGCCACAAACAGACACAAATGAACTTATGCAGACTTATGCACTGGCACAAACACGCATATACAAACTCACGTCAATGTCTGCAAATCTGAGTTGATTTTAACAGATTATTTTAGATTAGGTTAAAAAAAAAAGTCTTCAGCATCAGACAAGATTCTCCACAGCTTAGTAGGTTTCATAGGTTTAGCAGTTTGCCGCATAAAAGCACAACAAATTAATCTAGAGGGCAAATATACACACAGTTAAAATGGGGAATGACCATTTAGAATTTAATAACTGAGAGGGAAATGAGAAAATTATTGAAAATTTCATAAGAATGTACTTTTTTTTAAGGATTTTTGTATTCTGTTTATATAGTCTGCTTATAGACTCTTTAGGAGATTCCTGAAGACAGACAGGGACGCTGCTGTTCTTTTCACGCTTGGTAGTTCATTCCACCATGTTGGAGCAACACATGATAACAGCCTGGATTGTCTTAAGCGTGGAGTAGGCACTGGTAGACGACAATCCATTGCTAACCGGAGTGACTCTGTTTTGACAAACAATATTGCAAATTTAAAATATGCAATATTGCAAATATTAGAAAAAAAAATCTTGTCAAATAGAAATATGGAAATTTATTGAGAAACACTATAGATAAATGTTTTAAATTCCTTGTAAAATCTTACAGTATATAGTTTCCAGAGAGTTTCGCTGATCTTTTGTTTTTCCAAAGAGTCTAGTCCAATAACACTAGGGCAACATTAGGGTGTGTCCCTTAGTGGTTTGGGGCCTTTTTGTCCAGGAGTAGTTTTTGCCTTGGACCTTGGTTTTTGTCCAGTCTCTGTAATTGTTAAATCCTGATCAGTCCTTAATCTTATAAGGCATGTTAGGCTGTATATGTTATTTATTCCCTGGCATTCATTGGTGGACAAGGCTATCATTGTGGATCACTACGGTCTCAAAGCCTGAGATGTGGCTCTGTAACCATTTCCAGGTAAAAAAAAAAGATTTCCCTGTCTTTGATTCTAATCTTTTCTTTGATTTCTTTTAATACATTAGTTTTGCATTTTAGATCTTTTTGCCTATTTGATGTAGTTAGGTTCTTTATAAGTAACTTTAATTGGAAAAAAACTTTTCCAAAACAACCTGTTTGATAAGACTCAGTCATGATTGGATCAAACCCCACCAACCCATTATAATGAAATCACCTCTTGAAAACCCTTGATTATCTGAAACAGTTTGAAGTGATAAGGAAGCAATCAGAAAAAAATCTGTAAAGTTTCTGTAAATACTTCTCAACGCATTGTACTAGATAAGGCTTGTGACAATTTATCTTATTTATTTTAAATCTGACATTTAGATCATCTATTTATATGTCTAGGATGCAATGATAATAAAGAAGGTTTGGGGAAATCGGAAGAGTCCACTCAACCAGGGGCAGCCTCAGCTCCACAGAGCGACGAGGTTGCACAAGAGGAGACTTTTCCTAATCAAGGAATTCAGGAAAAGAGACCCTGAAAATAATAATAATAAAATAACAAAAATAATGTTTCCTACCTTCAAGAGCAGTAAAAATATGGCTCATTTTTGTGGTAGAATATTTATTCTTGTTGTTCATCTGTAGGTATGCCAATACACAAATACAATACAAAATTAAATATTTGTAAGATGTTTATTGTTTCTGATGGCTCGGCTCCGACTGAAAGTAACCTCTCACCAGAACAAACGCTGCCGGTCTGAAATATGTCTCAAAGATTGATAACAGGTGACATATCTTGAGGTACTGGCTCTAAACTGTCGATGAATTTGCATTAAAAAATAAATAAAACATGCAAAAAAAGTTCTTTCTTGAAGTGCATCTATTAATATGATTGGTGGAGAGTTTCAAGTGAGTTAAGTTCATCAGCATCTGCTCCATCCTTAAGATGTGTTTACATATTTTTTTTGTTTGAAATTCCTGGAAATTCCTGTATTTATTTTTAGTGTATTATTTTAGTGAAATTTTGTTGTTTTTTAACATCAATGATGGATCCAGACTGATTTAAAGCAGTAAACCCTCCAGTCTCCCACAAGCTGAGCCCAAATAACCAGCTGCTACTTTACCTGCACAGCAATAGCACTTTCAGTCTGAAGAAAGGTTGATGTAGCAGAAAGTTGTTTAGATTTGTCTGTTGAGGCATTTCACAGAGCGAGGGAACTGACATCCTTTGCAGTGGCGTGCACAGACTTTTCAAAGGGCAGGGGCGGAAAGACAAAAGAGGGCAGATAACCCCCATCCTCTCCACTGTAGATGGAAATTTTGCATATGATTCCCAACAAATGGGCTATAAGGGGTGGCAGCAGTCTGTCCATTGCTCTTTCTCTGAAGAGAGAATCTAGTTGAGTTTGATGTTAAAATAAAACTAAATACAGAACAATTAAACACCTGAAAAAGATGTGTCCTCAAAAAATCATTACCAAGCCAAAAAAAATAATTTAAAAAAGCCCAGAATCTGGTAGAGACAATTACTACACATCATTCTTTAATTAATTTGGAGGAAAATAATGTAGACAATGATTTATTAAACCTTTTTCATTCTATTTTACGTCCTTATTTTTCGAAAAGTTATCATTTATTCTTGATGCCTAGAATTGTTTCATATCAATACATGAAATGGTTAAACAAGGAAAAACTAAGTTGAAAGATTTTGGTTTCCTTAGAAATATTACCAAAAATAAATAA